ATAGAACCGAATCAGACCTGATAGGTTATAGTCTTAATTTCGGAACCAAATCTGTTGTTGGTTATCGGGACAATCAGGTTTGACCCCATGAACCTGATTATAATAAATCTGTTAAAAATATTATACACACATTGGTTCGGATTCCTAGAACTAAAACCGACCCAACCAATGGATACGGGTCATGTTAAAATTTTTTGGCAGGAGATCTCATCATCTCAATTCACTAATCCGGATCTCATGCCAACGAGGCGCATTTCAACCCCTACCAAGATCGGACACCACACATCTCATCTCATACAAGGTGGGTCTCAGTTTCACGGTGACCGGTGAGATGTGTGGTATCAGATTACGTGAGATTCCAACTTGGATAAAAATACAAACATACAATACAATATACAATTCTCCAAATGAAGGAAATTAATGATTTCACCGGCGTTGCATTTATGGAACTCCATTCGTCATCATATGGCATTTCAGTCTCAAGTTTCAACGACTTCATTTACTTTTCATTTCTCTCCCATCACGTACAGATAAGCAGGTTGGGAAAAAACAATAAGATATTTATTTGGCCTCACCCATTCCCGTTCGTCCTAATTTATTACGCGGCCGACAACCTTCATCTTAGTTATCTGCAAACCTAACAGAAAAGTTCGACTATCAAAAACAATGTTTTCAAAACCGGACCGGAAAACCCGTCTAACCCCAAAACCGTTTTTGGCCAAAACTGCTGTTGATTTGGTCGGTAAACTACTGACTAGGGCGGTCGGATTGTTGAACCGTTTGACCTATGAATGGATTTTGGCCATTTTTGGGTTTTTTTTAAGTTTTTTATTTTTTACTTTTTTTTGTTGGAGCCATGGTTTTTAAAAACGAACCGATGACCGAATCGGTCAGAGTCCAGTTATCGGTTCGAACGGTCTGATCGTTTGACCTGAACGGCCGGCCTATTCTGACAAAAAAATAAAAAAAAATTAAAAAATTGGAAAATGGTCAAAACAGTTCGAACGGTTAACCAGCCGGTTCAGCGGTTTGCTGACCAAAATCAATAGTTTTGGGGGAAAAAGAGGTTTTGGAGGAAAACGGAACTGATCAGATGACCACTTCTCGGTTTTTCCTGTGCGACCGTCTGGCCCGGTCCGATTTTGAAAACAGTGGTTAGAGCAGGTTACCCATTCGGACCGGATGGTCGGACCATTCAACCTATGAATCAGATCCCATTATGGTTCTCTGTTCGGTTCAATTTTAAAACCTTGATCAAAAACCAAAATCTGAAAAAAAAAATCCAATTGAGTGGTTTACACATTAAGCTCTCACCCATAATCCATCAGGGGAGGATTGCGATTAACCATTGGATTGGTGTTGATGGGAGATGAAAAGTTGTTTAAAACTCACCATAACTTTTCAAAACATCTAGGCACCCATGTTAAGTTGAGGTTAAATAGATTAACTGATGTTGGTAGATTACTATTTTATCCTTTGTTTTGGTGTAAATGGAAAACAAAGCAAAACTTTGATAAAAAATACATCTCAAATATTTCAGTCTAAAAAATATTCTTCCCCTTTTGTATATTTAAGTAAAAAAGGGAGCTTCAAATAAAAAGAAGAGAAGGCTTTTAATTCAAATCAAACTCACCTGACACTCCATATCTACTTGTATAGCAAAATTGGCACTTTATCCCTGTTAATTTCAACTGCAACAAGAACTTAGTTCAAGAAAATATCTATGGTCAATAAGAGGACACATGGCTCTGTAGGACCCAAGGCTGATATAAAATTATGTTTAATAAGGCTGATATGCCATTTAGGGGCAGTTTGGTCATAAAATTTGCATTTATGCTGATGTGGACAACTTCTGTCGATGAACACTAATGGTGCTCTAATAGATGATGAGTTTTGGAAAACAAAAAGTCATTGACATAAGGTTTTCTATGGTGACTTTAAGATAAATGCTGAAAAGTCATGGTGAGTTTTAAACGATTTCCCTAAATATATTTAAATATGGTTACAAAGCATCACTCATGGAGTGTTTGAACATCAAAGAAGCAATTACATTTGAGAAAGAGTATGACTGAATCTTAACATCCTGCCTAGACCTTGACTTTACACTACGTTGGCCTCGGGCTTTGGATCGGGCCCATTTAAATTTTGGCAAAAGCCAAGTCCAAACCCAACCCATGGATAGGTCTAATCCTGGCAAGAAAACTACCCATAGTGCAGAAAAATAATTATGTGAAATTGAAAGAGAAAATAAAACCTAGGGTCTTACCCTGTTCAAACCCATCTAATTAGAATCCATTAACTAAGTGGAGAGTTCAAATCTAATCCCAACACAGGGTCCCCACAACCAGTCCCAACAGCCATTGCTGACAAAAAGTATGCAACTTCTTGTCCTTCATGATGAGATGTTCCTGATGTACAGGTGCAATGGCTATTGGGGCCAATTGTTAGGACCAGTTTCTGGTGTCCAATCTGAACTCTCATTTAGAGCTAAGAGGTGGATTCGAGTCTAGTCAAGCTGAATATCTGGTTATTTGAGCTCGGTTCGTCAAAACAATGTCAGACTCGAGCTCGGTTCGAGCTAGAGACTTGAGCTCAAATTTGGCTCGACTCAAAAGCTCACAAGTTCAGGCTCGACTTGGCTCAAGCTCAATTATGGGCCAAGCTTCCAACAAAAACTAAAAGTTGTACATATAAAAATAAAATATTATATATAATAATAATTATTTATTATATATGTTTGTGTATGTACATATGTATATACGTATGTATGTATGTATTAATGATGGCAACAAATTTCCTATGTTGTATTCATTAATTATTAGATTCACCTAAATTACCAAAATTAATTTGCCAAATAACGAAAATTATAATAATTAATTACCAAAAATTATCAAGATTATGAAAATTTATTTATCAAAATTAAAATTTGTAGGAAAATTAATATACGAAATTACCAAATTTTCAATAAATAAATGAATTATAAATTTAATTTCACATATAACAAAAATAATCACCAAAGTTAGAAAAATTAATGTACAAATATCACCAAAATTACTTTACATTTAGAAATTAATAAATTCCCAGAATTACTAAATTATTTATTCATAAATTAGAAAAAATAATAACATTTGGTTAATTATTAATTTAGGAAAATAAATAAAAATTAATTTTGGGAATATACCATAGTTTAACAAAATTTCCAAAACGATTAATTTACCTAAATTGCCATAATTAATTTTCCAAATAACCAAAATTACAATAATTAAACTACAAAAAATTACTAACTCCACCAAAATTTATTTACTAAAAATTAAAATTTTTTAGGAAAGTTAATATATGAAATTATCAAAATTAATATAACAAAATGGATCACAAACTTTATTTGTCGTATAACAAAATTAATCACCAAAATTACCAAGTACAAAAATTACCAAAATTAGCTAAATTACCTCACTTTCATAAATTAATAATTCACCAAAATTAATAAATTAATCCAAAAATTACCAATGTTATTCATTCATAAATTAGAAAAAAAATATTTTTTTTGTTAATCTCTAATTTAATAACGTAGATCAAAATTAATTTAGTGAAGTTAATTTTTGGGAACATACCAAAATTTTACAAAATTGACAAAACTCATTATGAAATTTACCAAAAATAATTATCTCCAAATGAATTTACAAATGTTACTAAATTAAAAAAAAATTATTGTTTGATAATTACGAAAGTTAATTAGTATTTTTTAAAATTATTAATTTACCAAAGTTAAGCAAAAGGAATTACTGAAATTAATTTTTTCTAAATGTTATTAATTTACCAAAATAAATTACCTAACTTATCAAAATTAATTGTGAAATGTAACAAAATTATTTTCCAAATTACCAAAAATTAAATTTTGTTATCTTAGGTGAAGCTAGGAACGCGTGGGATAGTTGAGAAGTGTAATCTAATTATCTTCCTTAAGAGACACATGATGGAGAAGATTTCTTGAAAAGAGAATTGGAAGGGATATATATTAAATTTATTCAAGCCCCATAAACTGAGCCCGGCTTTAGTCAGTGCAAGTCCATGCTCACGCTGTTCGAACAGCCTCTCCCAACCTTGCATTGGGAATATCTCCCCATAAAATAAAGTACATGAGTATGGAGATATTCCCAATGCATAGTTATAAAGGGCGTTCAAACAGGCCTTGCACGGACTGAAGCCGACCTCCCACAAACCAAAGGAAGCTATAACAAAAATTACATGCTTGAGAACTCTAATTTTTCCAAGGGCAACAGTTAACTAGCATTTCAGGTTTATTGAGAAAAAACACCACGACAACCATTATTGTTGTTGTTATTTCTATTTTGTATTTACATTATGAATCAAATGTTAATTATCAAAATTCATGAATGGGTTTTGATTGGTCAAAACTCGTCTCAGATAATTATCCCACACTCGTTTCAACTTGTGAATGAATTTTAAGGTTTGCAACACTGATTTTTCTTCTCTTTCTTACACAACCCAGGGGCTGAATTTTAAGGTATGCAACACCCTTCTTTCATCGTGAGGCTACATACCCTAGGGGCACCGGGAATCCCCACCCCCACGCACCACGCTTTCAACCATGGTGACATTTAGGCCATGTTCTTTTTTCGGAAACACATTTATTTACCAGGGTAAGTGCATTTACCCATGTTCTTTTTTTGTTTGAATTTCCAGGTAAATAAAATCCCTTATTTTCCCATGTTCTTTTGTAACACCCACTTTCCTGGGTAAATTGCTATTTTTTTCGTCTCTTTCCATTTTGACTCCTTGGCCCAAATTCATGTTTTTTGGACATTTTGTCTCATTAACACATAACCTGTTCAACTATAATCTGTCCAAGTAACAAGTTTAATAACTTGTTTAACTATAACATATCCAAACAATAACTTGTTCAATAACCTAAAATAAGAAATATCAATAAACAGAAGAAAGTTTTTCTTTGTTATACTGAATTAATCGACTGAGAAATAATTCACATACATTCTTTTTTTGTTTATGGTCTCATATAAAATACTTGTCAATACATAGATTTCAGGGTTTTTTTTCTCTGTTTCTTCTTTCTTCTTCTTCTTCTTCTTCTTCTTCTTCTCTCAGAGGGTACAATCTCCTCTTGTGTTGGTACACATGGTAGACCCCCGCTAAGTTAACCATTTAGAACCTAGACCTATTGAAGAACCTTCAGGGCTTCATGATTTTGGCATTCTGAAGTAGGTTCCTTGGTGCGTTGGCTCTGATTGGAATTCTCACTTTCTACTGGCTTGAAACCTGCCAAGTTTGCTAGTTTGTCCACTGCATTAACTAGTGGTTGGATCCTTGCAGCAATCGAAGACTATAGTCACGTTCTTCATCAAGCTTCTACATTGGTGATTATTATGCATGGTGCTGATCCTATTTTAGTTTATTGTTTAGATTTTCTAAATGAAGGCAATTGAAGACTATAGCCATGTTCTTCGTCAAGCTTCTATAGTTGGTGCTGATCCAACATGGTGATGTATTGGTAGAACTATGTTCAGCATATGAGATGATGCTCTAGGAAGTCCATGCAGTTGCATAGGGGGATTATTATGCAAGCCATTGACAAATGATGGGGAGTTTGGCCACATCATGTTTGTTGGAAGATGAGGCTGATATGAGTTGGAGCAATTCCACATATGATGATGTCCACAAAGAGGGTAGCTCCCATTTCCAGAAGAACAAAAAACTGTGAAACACAGGAGACATCAGTTGCAATGCAAGTAATAGAGGAAACAAGCATGTAATAAAAAGGAATGCAAACCTTTGATCCCGCTCCATCAGAAGCCCAATACCAACATAAAGCCAGCAAAGCTGCAAGATTATTCTTTACTTGTGGAAATGAATTTACTTCATTTGTACTGTAGTCAAACAAAATAAGCTAAATTTTGAAACAAAAATAGGTTAGAATTTACACTCAAATCATTTGCACTACCATGGTTTTGCATCAATGCAAATTTATTTGCATTGCAACTAAACACAACCTTTTAGGAATAGAAATCACATTATAGCCATAAAAAAAGAAAGAAAGAAAGAAAGAAAATCTACTTCTTGTTATTGATAAAAAAATATAGTTCTTGCTGAATCTTCACATATATTAATGGTTCAAACAGAAAAGTCTGCTAAGCTGCTCTTGTTCTGCAAGACCCATGCATTTCTCTCCTGCCATAACATCCAAAACACAGCCAAAGGAGCAATGCTCCAAGCAAATTTTCCTTTTTTTCTTGGGCCTTCCAACCACCAACTCTTTAAGGATTCCACCACAGTGGCCATCCAGCATCCTTAATCACAAACAAGCCAAAAATTCTGATCCAAATGGAACCTGAAAAGCTACAATTTAGAAGCAAGTGGTCTATTGATTCCATACAATGATCACACAGGACACAATCTGTACTTGCCATAGTCAATCCTCTCTTCACCGAGTTGTCTTTGGTGAGGGTTCTATTCAATCAAACATGCTCTCCAAACAAAAAAAAAAAGCCACCTTGGGTGGGATGTCCTTGCACCATACTTGGCTGACAGGGAATTGTTGTTCATATAACCTTGCCAAATAGTTGAGAAATGATTGACAGAAAACTTGCCTGATTTCTCCCTGCAAGCCATACAACCACTCCACATGGGCCTTACTTCCCAATCATTTAGGTTTCTACAAAATTGAGGAGTCCATACAACATTACCATTCTGTACTTTCATACAATTAGCCACATACACCTTGTCTACAACTAAATCATATATAAAAGGAATCTATTTTTTGGTAAAGATATAAAGAAGGAAATGATTCCATTAAAGGTCTCTTGCACCAAACATCCTTCCAGTAATTCACTTATCGATCATTTCCTGCATCAGACCTCAGGCCTTTAGTGAACTTGCTATAGGTCTTTTCTTTTCCCTTGTAGACCAAGCATCCATATGTTTGGTAATTGGTTTGACTCTGCAGGGTCCCATCCCCCATTCCTGGATCCATACTTGTCTTGAATCACCCTCCTTGCTGGTCTCTAAACCTCTAAAACTGTTTTTCAAAAAAAGACTGTATTAACATCCCTCACTCACCTTATTCCTAAAGGATTACCTTTCAAGATTATCCTCAGACTCCAGCATTAAGGAAAATTTTATTATACTACACTTACAATATATTTTAATATGCTATAAGAAAACATTTTATATTTTGTTGTTTTAGAATAACAAATAATATTTTGTATCATATATAATAGAAGTTCACAAGCATGGATTCAACAAGAAGAGCAAGTTCACACTAAGTTTACTGAGGATTCTGAGTCAAAGTTCAGAGGTATCTCTCATGCACTCTCTTCAAATAGATCTAAAATACACCTGGCAATTCTTGATAAAATATTACAACAATATCTACATCATTTTTCGTAAGAAAATTATATGAAAAACAAAAATCCTGGTTTGGTTTTCTTGGATGCAGAAAACCAAAATCAAACTACAGTGTGGAAATCAAAATCCATTAGAAGATGCTAAATAATGAATGAAGAAGCCATCAGAATTGGATGCAGAATTCATGAAATAGAAACCAAGAGAATGTTATCTAGAAATTCAAAATTAATCAAATACTTACTGTGATTCATCGAGTAGATCTTATACAACAAGAATTGTTTCTTTGTTCTGATTTTGAAAACTCTAGGTATCACAGTTAATCTAAAAAACCAAAATACCAGATCCAAGAAATCTGGAAACAAAAAATCAAAATAAAAAAAAGGAAATCAATGAAATAATAATAAAAGAGAAACAATAAGATGAGAAGCAACATTTTTTGAATAAGATGAAAAAAAAATAAGATGCAGAGAAATAGCGATTCTTACTTATTAAATGGAGGAAAAAATGACCAGCGATAGCAACCAGGCGAAGCAGCGACAGAAACTGGGATGATCATTGGTGCTGGCAACAGAGGGAGGACGGCGACGACAACTCTTCAACATTTGCGATGACTTGATGCAGCAGCAGCGATGGGCAGAACTTAGAGATACCAGAGATACGCAGCAGCGATGGCAGAAAAGTAGAACTCAACATTCTTTTCCTGAAAGAATCGATGGCAGAGAAGAAGAAAGGAGTGGAGGAGAAATGAAGAAGGGAAACACAGACGTGATTTTTCGGAGAAGCAGAGTCTCAAACTTTTATATCTTGTGGGGGTAATATTGAGATTTCTTATTTTTATCTGCTTACCCTCCACACGGGAAATCAACTTACACGAGTCTCTCAAGGGTATCATTTAATCAAGCTTACCATGGGTCCCACAAAATTTTGAAATCTAAACACATGTAAATTGGTCGATGAGATTCACACAATCCCATACCAAACTTTCCCCCCTTCACTTCACGGAAAACGCACATGGCCTTAATTCGAAGTGTAGGTTTAGTTATTGCTCTTAATATTTTCCTTTTAAAACTTTTCATACAAGGAAAACCACTAGTGTTCACAAGAAAGTTGTTTGGTTCTTTTCAATTTTCATTTCTAAGCTACTAACGATCCATTTGGTTCATAGTCATCAGAATCGGAATTGATGGATTAGTCTAATTTTCTTGACAGTTTGGTTCAGTTGGAGTGGATTTTCATTCTCAAGGAAGAGGGAGAAAATGATCGTTCCCTCAAATCAAAGTTCAGAATTCCGTAACGTATACATATCATATCGGGGCCTTCCCGATACACTCCTACAAGGGGTGTATCAGGTCAGGCCATGGTTCAGAGGGTAGTCGGGACTTAAACCGAATCCTCTGAACCAGTTTTAGAAAAAAAAATATAAATAAAAAAAGCACCAATATAGGCTGATATGCCCTATTAGCGTAATTTTAGAACCTTGCCTCAAATGGAGAAATGCCATTCCACTAGGAATAGGAGTGGGATTTTGATTATGCCCAATCATTTCAATTTGAATCCCAAAACCCCATTCCCATGAGCCAACTGATAGTGGTTCAAATTGATTGGATCATGATACGATCTGATCCTATTTGATTGAATTCGGATCATCCCTATTTAGGTCTTTGGATCGGATTGGGTGATAGGATCCGATTAAAAATCAAATCAGATTCGGATCACCCCTATCCAATCCAATATACATTATACTTATAAATATATATGTTATTTATTTATTTATAAATATGTTTTTATATTATATTTTTATAAATTTGTTATATTATTTATTTTTTATAAAAACATGATGAAAACAATTAAAAAATATTTTTATTTTTATTTTTACTTTATTTAAACTAGTATATTTTATTTTTCTTTTAATAATTTATTAATTTTTAAAGAAAACAAGTTGAATCGAATCAAATCCGATCTGACTTACCAATTAAGACTCGAATTCAAATGAAGTACTATCAAATCTGATTGAATCTTAGAATTAAATCGGATCTAACATGAAGAATGTCAGATCGATTCGAATATCCATTTGCATCCCTACCAACTGGAGGGGCTACACAATTGGGGTAAGAAGAACCAATCCCCATTCCCTAAGCCAACGTGATTTATCCCAGGTCTCCCAGACAACAAAGTGGGGACCCTACCAACTGACAACCAGCCAGTTGGTTAAGCTCAAGCCCTTAAGCCACAAAAGTTGTTTCTGCTTGCACTTTTTTATGTTACATGCTTTTAAGGTCCTTCGATTGTCAAAGTGCTACACGTTTATGCAGTATATCCTGATCGTGTGAATAAAAAAAGTAAAAATGCGTATTTACAGCTAGTAGCAAGCTTTGACAACAAAATTTAATCTACGAGTAGGGTATTGGGAAGATAGGTGTATACTTTATAGATGCCAAAAAAGTAAAAACCATTGCTCCCTCCCATCAGAAAGGAATTGTGTCTTAAAATATGGACACTGTAATTGTGCAAAGACAAAAAAATGAGACCATTTAATTTTGACATTATTTACAAATACTTGTTTATGACTTATGAATAGTGGCATTTGTTGCATTTGTTTCTTTAGAATTTACTTGTAGTTCGTATTCAAGGTTGATATCACATTTATAACTACATTATATTAGCGGGGACCCGTGCAATCCACGGAATTTATTAAACGAAAGCTAAATAAAAAAAATCACTTTTCTGTATTAAAAATTATATTTAAAATATAAAATATTAATATATATCTATGATCACGTTGTTCAATTTTGGTAAGTTTATAAATGGTCAAATCAAAACTATTCCAACCTGGTCAGATTGGGAAATTGTTGAACTAAAGTTGACTGAAAATACTAGAAAACTGACTAACTTGGGCCAAGTTGGTCGGGTTAGTCGGTTTCATCAGTTTGATGCACAACCCTAGCTAAAATTAATTATTGTTATTTTTGTATTATTAAAAATTATTAAAAGTAGTATATAAAATATAAATAATTATTAATTGTTTAAAAAATAAAAATATAAAACAAGTCTAAAATATTTTATATCATAAATTTAATTTTTAATAATGCCACTATAATTTTTTAATTTAAATTTAATTTTTTAAGTTGAAATCTTTTGAACCAATTGACCAAACCGAAAATCGACCCAAACTAATACGACCCAAGTGAGCTGATTTTCACTAATGGTTAGTCGATTTAGGGTGACCAACTCCCCAACCTGACCATGTCAATTTAGTTTGTCAAACAACCTACAACCGAGCTGAACCAACCCGTGAACACTCCTAATTTCAACTAAATTAATAATCTATCTCTAATAAATAACAATAGTTTAAACTCCAATAATTATTAAAAATTTATTGCAAAAATACACAATTATTGAAAATAAATTTATAATGAAAAGTTTAATCTCTAATAAATAGTTTAATCTCTAATAAATATTAATTAATAATTTATAACAAAATTAAATAAATTAAATTTAAAAAGTTAAATAATAGTAGTTTACTCTTCAACAATTATTGAAACTTTTCTATTAAATAACAAAACAAAAATAAATTTATACATAACAATTGAAAATATATTTATCATAGAGAACAACAAATAATTGCTGAAAATACAATAAATATTAATTTTAGTATATGTAAATATATAATAAATATAGTTACAATTTTAAAATTATTATTAATAAATATTAATTTTTTTAAAAGTCATTTTATAGAATTATTAATTGATATAAGTAAAGTTAGTTATTTAAAATATTAATTAATTATTTAAATAATATCATTATTTAAATTTTAACATATTGATTATTTATTGAATTTAGTAATTAGTAAAATTATAATTTTTAATATTATTACATTATTTCGTTATTAATTTTGTAAAATATTAAATTATTGTTAATTTGAATATTATGTTGTAATTATTTTTCTATTTTAAGGAAATGTTTTAAATTTATTACATAATTTTATTATTTTAACTATTTAAAATCTTGTCATGTTAAATATTTCGTTATTTAAAATATTTAATTATTTAAATATTGAAATAATATATAAAATTTTTGTTATTTGAATTTTATTTATTTTAAAGTTATTACATAATATTAAATATTTTGTTATATAATTATTTATCTATTTTAATATTTTGGTATCGAAATATTTAAATAATATTTTATTTTTCAATGTTAGATTTTTCTTTTTTGAATAACATTTAAATTGAATAATCCAGAAAATCATAATTTATATTTCTAGTACATAATTTTGTGTTGAATTTTGTAAAAATATAAAATTATTAATAATATGAATATTATTAAATCAATTTTAATTATTTTGTGTTTTGAAAAAAATATTTTAAAGTTATTATAATATTTTGTTAAAATATTTAAATATTTTTAATTCAAATTTTCTTTAGATAGATATAGATAAAAAGTGGGGGAGAGGATAAATATGAATTAAAGAAAATTTAGGAGAGAAACTCTTTACTAAATTATAGATAACTTAGGAGAAAATTAGGAATTAGAAATAATTCAAGAGGTGAATAGTAATTAAAGATAATTTAGGAGAAAGTGTGGGAGGTAATTTAGGAGAAATTTTATGAGAGGATATTATTTAGGTTATTGAGAGAGAAAGAGACTTTAGGTGATTTTTATGGGGAAGGAGAGCATTTCATTGGTTGTTTCAAAAATGACATGGAATAAGAAAAAAAAATCAAAGAGAGAGAGAGAAAGAGAGATTACATAGAGTAAAGATGGAGGTCAATAGTCCTTTTGCCTAAATACTCACATGGACTTCACATAACACATGTATCGGGATTTCCTCTTCCCAGAGAGCACCTCACAACACATTTCACCGTGTACTGAATTAGATTTAGTACTCACAAAACGATGCTCACATCACACTCACAACCACTTGTAGTTGTAGATTGGGAATATTCCCTTGAATAAAAACATACAAGTATGGAGATGTTCCAAATACACAGTTGCAAGTGTTTGTAAGCACGGTGTGAGAATAATTTTGTGAGGACTCCAAGCTCCTATATATTGGGGACATCTCTCATGAATAAAAACACTCAAGTACAGGGGATATTCCCGATGTACAGCTAGGACATGTTGTGAGGTTAGTGTGAGGAGTGCTCTATGAAGAGCAGATGTAGACTATTCATACACATGTGGTCATTTATTTATCTTATTGATCAAAGTATGTTTATTTTTGAATTCGATCCCTTTTGAACTATCAGAGTTGGAAATGCTATTTGAACAACTACTTTTCACGTCATTTAATTTTTTCTCATAAAGGCTTACGATTAAAGTATTAACTCATATTTTTTCACTGAATCAAATATATATAAGGTATTTTTATCTCATTAATAAATTATACTAGTTCAATTTATATCTAATACTTTTTAACAATATAAAACCCATGCTTTCTAAAAGCAGCTAAAAAAATAAAACCATTCTTCCATCCAAGTAATGTTAAGCAATTTAATTGTTTGAACCAAATGGGTCAACCCACGATATCATAGTTAAATAATAAAAAAATTTAAAATAGAAATAAATACAAAAAATGTAAAAAAATGGGTATGTGTCTAATGTTTTATATTAATAATATTAAATGAAAATAAATGTGATGATAAGCAACTATTTTTATTAATAATGGAAATGACACAAAATTTAAAACTGACCAAATAAATGAAAATGTTTTCCTATTTGGTGGTGGATCAACAATTAAACTTTTTGGCCTAAT